AGCTTTAGTGACTTAATTAGCCAGCTCTGATGAAGGTCTCAAACAAGAATTTTAATAATAGAAACATTGTAACAAGAATGCCATATGTACAAAGAATGAACCTTAAATTTAGTTCTGTAAAAGAGAAGGGAAGCTCCATTGTAATATAATTTTAGGAAGCCTAACTCAAAGTTCCCCAATTTATCCAGTGCTAGCACCACTCCCTTCAGTTGTCATGTGGGGGGACAGATTCATATGTATGACTTGTGCAGAATATTTCTATGCAAGCCCAAGTAAGATTTAGGAGGCACCACGATAAATACCATATCCTGGCCTAAGGGTACAGTGACAGGTGTCTTTGGGCAAGCTGCCCAACCAGAATTATTTTTCACTTTGGATTCTTGAGCGTTTGGACCAATGATGGTACCTACCTTTGACTTGGAGAAATAATGAAGACTGATTTTAAAATCTCAGATGAAGATCCATGTTAATATAATTACTGACATTTATCCTTTTTGTAGTTTTAAGTAGTTCATTGTATACATTGTCTCAGACTTCGCAGGCTAGATTAGTATTCCCATTTTACAAATGAGAAAACTTTAAAGAACAAAGGTATGAAAAGATTTACCTTAGATCACACGTAGCTAATAAGTAACTGATTATGCTGGGAGTCAAGCCTGGATTTTCCACTGGGTCCAGTGATATGTCTACACCACCGGGCTGGCTGGTGATAAAGTAAACACTTTTTTAAAAGGAGAAGTTCTTAGAGTTCAAATGAAGAGAAAATAATGCAGTTCTTTCAGCAAGGGCTAGGCTAACATCTTATTAATTTCATATCAAGTCTCTTGCTCTATATTCTGTTAGTAATATTTTGAATAACCTTATTGCATATGGACACCATAATAAAAATGGTTTATTACCTAATCTCTGTAATTTATGCTCATAAAGAAAGAGATACACTGGTCCCAGAGCAATTATTTTGGTCTCTGTGGGACAAAATTAAATATTTTTTTCAAACTTCACCAATTAATCTTTTGTCCTCATTTGAGAACGTGTTGTTTTTATATAACTTTATGGTTGGATTACAATTTAACTTTCTGCACACTGTACCAGAAATTAGATACATAAATCTCATTGTTAGATACTAAGGCTCTGTCTTTAGTTTGTTTCAAATTTTCGAGGTCTACATAGCAGCTACATTTGATTCAAGATCAACATGTTAGCACTTAGAGGAATTTTCCTCATCCTGAAATTCTTTGAAAGATAGATGCTGTTGGATTTTCTTTTTTTCTATTTTGGTGTGGTATATTTGGCCTTTTTCAGATAGGATTTTTTAAAATAAGAAAACATGATCGTTACGGTAGTTAATGAGTTTAGAAACAAAAGCCAGATAGATCTGCAGTTAAATTCCTTTCCCATCATTTGCTAGCTCCGTGACCTCTGGTGAGTTACTTACCTTCTCTAAAACATTGTTTTCTCATCTGTAAAATGGGGTAATTGTATCATCTGCCTCCAGTAAGGATTAAGTAAGATAATCTCTATAATGTGCTTAATGCACTCTCTCACCCAGAGAGAACATTGAATACCTGTGCAGTTTTTGTTATTGTTCTAGACCGAATTAAGTAAGAAGGCAAAAGAGGAACTTGAAGGCTTAAGCCCGTTCTGGGTAGGGTGCCTGTGTCTGCTGTGGACGATGGCCTCAGAGGTTGATGAGTATCTGCCAATAGAGGTCGAAAGTGGTGGCATCGACCAGAGCATAATCGAGCCTGTTCTGATAAAAAGTGCCTTTTCATTCATTTCTTCATTTTTTAAAAAGTCTTTTCTCTTTGGTCTCTCCTCATTTATCCTCCCCCCTATAACAGCATTCATTTAAAAATTTTTTTTAATTTGTTGTTATTATTTTTTGTAGAGGTGGGGTCTCACATGTTGTCCAAGGTGGCCTCAAACTCCTGGGCTCAAGCGATCCTCCTGCCTCAGCCTCCTGAGTCCAGGGATTACAGGTGCACACAACTGCACTGGCTCATTCTTTTTAGGTTCCATGCCAGCCAACTATTGAGTGCCTTAAACAAATCAAATGGAGGTTGAATGAGTCTTTCCAAAGGCATTCTTTTCTTCTTTCTTTAATCTCTAGAGAGAAAAGTACAGCACTTTCTGAAAAGTACAGTATGTCCTGAGAAAAATACAAACATACAATGTTTGTATGATATGTTACACTACTTTTCAGTGCTCCATGGCTGTAGGCCAGAGGTCTGACATCTGACACTTCTCCATTCCTCTCCCTGCACCCTAATTCAGATGTGTGCCCTCTTTGCTTCATTCCCCAGTCCCGTGGTCCTTAGTGGAAACAAAGCACCATCTCAGGGTGCGCCAACCAAATGGAGAAACTTTGATAACAAGTCCTGTTGGATGTAGCTAGCCAACTGTGGTTATGCACAACTTATTTTTTAAATGAAATAAAAATTCTCTATGCTATAGTACTTTAATCTCTTATCTTCATGTATGACACAAATCTCAAAGAGTCATTTCTGTTTCAGGCCCTGCTTGAATTTCTCCAAAGAGTAATAGATAATAAAGAGAAGAATAAAATGACTGTCAAGAACATAGCAATGGTCATGGCCCCTAATCTCTTTATGTGTCATGCATTGGGTTTGAAGTCCAGTGAACAGCGAGAATTTGTAATGGCCGCTGGGACAGCAAACATCATGCACTTGTTGATTAAGTATCAAAAACTTCTGTGGACAGTAAGTATATATTTTTAAACTCTGTTAACGATCCTGTAATTTCTTAACATAATTGTTTATAATGATTTTGAACATAATTTTATAAAGCTGATATAAAAATGTAATGTGCTTTTTTTCTTAATGATTTAGAAAACACATTGCATGTCTGTTACAAAATTGTTTTAATAAATTACAGGTTTATTAAATTGCATTTAAAATTTGTGAGCGTAGAAATATTAAGGGTGTTTTATTCACATAGACAAGGTAGGGCCTGTAAATTTCTATTTTAAAATTAAATTATGTCAAGAAAACATGCCTTGTAAGAAGTAGTCCTTATTTATTTACTTTTGTCCATTTTCTCTTTTCTCAATATTTAGGTTTGTTGTCTTTTTAAAAGCTCATGCAGTCTTGGCTTTAGATCATTCACAGTTATTTTTCATAGCGTTTTCATAGACTCTTTATTTAAAGAGATATATACATTTTGTGCCCTGATTGCTGACAATGGTTTCTTCTGTTTTACTCTTATTTTGAACTTGAGTTTTGACAGGTAATCAGAACATGGTGGTGGATGAGAGGCTTAGTTGATTAAGTTCTCATTTTCCAGTGGAATTTATAATTTTGCAAAGAGGCATTTTAAAGGCATTTAGAAAAATGACCTAAAGGAATTCCAAGCAAAATTATATTATATATTT